TCAAAGGCATCAAGATTTGCTTTACTTGCGGCGATCAGCTTCTCAATGTTCTCTTCATCAAGAACTGGAAAATTGTAGCCTTGTTTGCGAACAATATCAAGCGCCTCTTTTGCTCCGACCCACTGAGCCGCGGTCGATATCAACTCGTTAGCCTTCTCTTTACGGGAAAGCGATTCCTTCACTTTGCCGACCAAACCCGCATAGTGGTTGTTCACCGCAACCGACGTACGCTTCGCCACTTCTTGCCTGAAGGCAATTTTCTCCTCTTGAGCAGCTTTCAGCTCGGCCTCCAGCTTCCTTTGCGAGTCGGCCCTCTCTTTTTTTATAGCCTTTACTGCTCGGTTGAGCATTTTGCTTTTTTCGGCATCATCGGCGTGAACCTTCTCGAGCTCCTCGGAAGATTTTTGAAGCGCAATTTCTAGCTCTGCCCTTCTTCCCCGTTCGGCTTCGAGAGCCTCCTTGAGACCCTCTGTTTCTGACTCTTCGGCCAAACATCTCTTTGCGTCCCGGTCGTACTCATTCATAACGGTCAATGCCGTGTTCAGGGCCTATTATAAACAAATGATATCAGCATTTGGAATCAGTTGTATGCGAGAAAATTACAAAGGGTCATTCGAGGTATCTTTACCTTGGCCTGTTCGTGCGCATAACGCGCGATCGCATCACTGCGAATGTACCCGCGAGGATCCGTAGGCAGACCTGCTGGATTGTCCCTCAGCTTAAGGAAGTAATCCAGACAGGACACCGAGTCATGCACTATCGGGCTATCTCCGCGATATTCTGTAGGAAAACTCGAACAGGCGTAGTTGTCTCTCGGCACGAGACCTCCTGGATGTCCGCGGTTCTTCAGGAGATCCTTCTGAACTCTGCTTCCTCGGGTTAATAGGGCTTCTTTCGCCGCCTACACTTCCGCCTGCGATGTTATCGTCATCGCTCCTCTGAACTAGCTCGGCTTCCTTGCGAGCTTTCTCTGCTTTCTTACCAGCCTTCCTATCGGCCGCTTTCTTAACTTTGGCCGCTTCCCTCTCACCTTTTTCAAGAACCTCCTGTTCAGCCTTCTTAGCCGCAAAATTTTCTGGATCTCGAACTTCAAGAGATCCAAGGGCAGACTCCAGATCGGCCGACAGATCCTTAAAAATGACAGATTTCATCTACTCTCGTCATCGGGAGCGTCGTTCAAGCGCAACTGAGAAATAAATTAAAAAAAAAGGTCAGATCAAATGGAAAGCCCCCGAGTGTCGAAGCAGGTTTAGGAAAGTAAACGAATCTCTTGTCCTCGCAATCATTTCTTCTGTGATCTCGGGCCAAGTGATCGCGCTAATCGCAGCAAATCGTTCGGAGATATCGTCGATATCGAGAGGATCGTCGACGAATGGAAGAGGCCTGTTTCCTGTAGAATAAAAAAGATTTGATCAGAAACAAAAAATAACAAGTTACGCTGTATTTCATATCAGTCATGTCTCTACCCATGACCTCCGCCCATTTCGTTCTGATCGGGATATCTCTATCTGCGTCGGCGATGGAAAATTCGTTGATTAGCACGAAGAAATACCGATCTCTCCAATCCGCCACCTTGGTTTTGTGACCGCCAGTCACGATGTTGTATCGAGTCTTCATACTCGTATAATACGAACCACGGTTCCTCAAATGAGCCTTCGTACGATGGGTGTTCGTCATAGCATCGAAGGCTGCTCGACTCAATGGGATATCATGTCCGATCGACATCACAAGCATGCTAACAATCAAGCGTATCGTCGCATGGGTGAACTGGCTGATCGGCATTACTTTGTGGGTGGCGAATTCCAGAAGAAGCCTCGGAAGCGGGAAGCAGAGATGGAAGTCCATGAAAAAGCATTCGTGAAGATATAACCATCCCTTAAGAGCATCCCACGGTCGCTCCGACGGGCTCGGAACCACGAAGACCACCTCAGGTCCGATGTCACACTCTTCTTTTAAGGTAACCAGCGACTCCAAAGTGGATTTGGTCGGCATCACTCCGAGAGCGTTGTCGCAGATCGGTTTAATTACCGGCTCCCTTTTTTGCTTCTTAATTTTCTTCACCGGCGGATTCATATCAATGATGCCAAATTGATTGACTTCATCCTCAACGATGATGGCGTTGAGCTCGTCCGAGATATCCATCTCGTTCGACCCGCCTCTCACATCGTCTTCATTTCGCAATTCGGGAATCCCGAATTCAACCCTAGACGACGTTTCTCCGGATTTCTGGACAATTCCGATTTGATCAGTGTGGAACCGATCGGCCGCAGCTTGTTGGTTCTTCTCTCGAACGCTTTCCTGGAACGCACGATTCAACGCCGATAACTCGCTCGCATCCGAGGACCGATCCGACTCTGATTCCTCAACGACGACCCGTTTTCCCTTTGATCGGCTTTTATCGACCTGGTCGTCAGCTCTCTTCTGTGCCGATCTGATTTTCTCTGAGCCTGGTAGTTTTTCCCTGATTTGAATGCTTTTACACATGCTTGATCGGCGCTCAGAACGAAACACGGCGGAGGTCTAGTTGACAGATCTAAAATTCTAAACAAAAGAAGAACAGAGGAGAGGGGAGAGAGCAAACCTGATTTTGACAGAGTTTCGCTAGAAATGCAGAAGTGAAGAAATTGAAGCCGAGTCCCCCTTATTTATAGAAATATCTGGACGGTTAGCGAGAGTCATCATGAGCACGGCGACTTTTTACATTTCTTCTTATTAATTTTAATCGGTCTCTTCGCCTTCACCTGCTAGGATTTGACACGTGTCAACCCTAGTTCTGCATGCGCAAACCTAGGTCTAGCCTACATCATCTTTTAGGCGGGAATTTTTCGCGCCTAGAATCACAATCTGACCCTCATCACCGCGCTGATCAGAAGTCCAGGTAATAATTTCATTTTTATTCTAACTCTTTTTTTACAGCCGACCAGAATGCATACCAAGCAATACATTATGAAGTTCACCAAGTAACGTACCCTCACTTACCAAACTGGGGGGGGGGGGGGGGGTGGGGGGACTTACTGTTAGAGATGAGATCCGTACCGTCTCTAACACGCCCGATATGAATTCTGGTCGGCCCGTCTAACAAGTTTCAGGTCGGCGACATAAAATGAAATCTTCCATTTATCAAGCGACCCGGGAAAAAAGGAAACTCCCTGCCGACAAGAGTTTTCTATTCCAAACAGGTTGAAGACCGACCTGATCGGCTATAAATACAGAAAGTCCTCGACTCCTCAATCTATCCGAAAATCATCTATCGAGACTTAGGGCAAACTAAGCAATCTGACTGTTCTAGCTTTCGATATACTTTCCATAAAAGTTTAGATCGGCGTTCTTATTCCGACGATCTAAACCCCGTGTATTCATTCAAGCTCTGGCTTCTTCTAATAAAAAATCTCTTCTTAAACACTCAAACCCTAGTTCTTCTATAAGTCGAACTTGAGTTTTTACAGTAACGATTGTGAATAAAAAAAAGAATAAAATAGTTTAGAAACAGTAGCCAAGAAAACTACAAATCGAGATGACATTTGGGAAATTGGCTGATATAGCCATATCAAAGGCTATAATTCAGAAAATAACTATAGTAAAGTTGGTGTTATTATATTTCTTATATATTTTACAATATATACTAAAAACCCCTTTGTTTAAAATGGAGTGAAAAATAATTACTGACGTTAGCAGTAGAAAATAAAGATAAAAAATTAAAGGATAGATCGCACTTCAATATGTTATTGAAAAATAATAAACACAAACCATATTAGTTTATATTAAACACCACTAAAGTTACACTATATCGATTATTGTTTCCAATAACTTATTTTCTATTTAAATATATAGTATATCTCTAATAACATATGGTTTACTACTAGACTATACTATACTATATGTTCAGTATACAACAACACTACTATAATATAGTATGAGAGTTTCCGGTTATATATCATTTTATCGATCATTATACTCTAAATTAAAAATAATATAATATGACAGTTACAATTATATTACTAGATTACATATTTTCAAATAGTATAGAACTCACTAATTATAGTATAAATGTGATGGTATAAATTTCTACTACCCTATACAGCAATGACGTCAAAAAATATATCGCAATATATGTTTTACTTAAAATTGAAGGAATATATTATAATTTCTCTGTGAACCATAATTATTTATCTAATTTTTTAAACAACATAGCTATATTCTCTAATTCTTTTCTCTAATATAGTTATTACACTAAAAAGCCCATCGCATTTTTCTTAGCATAAAATAAAATAAAGTGACTCTCGTTGTTTAAAAAATGAAATAACCATAAAGTAACTTTAAAATTAAAAGGAGTCACATGGGAGTTCCAATGATGAAGCGCTATGATATTATTACCTCACTTATTGATCGGTCCCCATACCATATGCATACGGGCTTAGTCAACTCTTTGCACGGTCGAATATTTTCTTATTTCCTTTGACTATAATCATCCTTTTCTTTTTACAGATTTCATTATTGTACTTGTATACAAGAATTATTTCACGATACTATTGTTTTACACAAGTTTTACAATCATTAATTTAAAAAGATAAATTAAACTAGATTTTACTTGATAGTATTCAATCAACTTTCTATAGTTTGTAACCAAAGACCGTTAATTACCTTCCCAAATTATGTGATTTGATTTGATGACGATAAATTAAAAAAATAAATCATTTTACTTTTTTTAAAACAACTGTAGTGATGACGTGGCAATAGCTCGTGGGAAATTGAATGAAAGCTGGACGAGATAACGACGGGAGAGAGAGACTGGGACCCTTCGGAGAGATAGGGAGAGAGAAAGATAGAGAGAATAGTGAGGTGAGAGAGAGACTCTCATTCATCACTATACAAACCTTTGCTTTCGATTTATTTATTTTTCTAGATTAATTTTCGTATTTGTTCGCTTGATTTTTTCTTTCTGAGAGATCGGAGTGGGAGTAGCGAATCTGGATGTTATTGTCGGTGAATCTGAGTCGAAGATGAGGAACGTCAATAATAGCGTCGAGACTGTGAACGCCGCCGCTACCGCCATCGTCACCGCCGAGTCCAGAGTTCAGCCGTCGTCTGTTCAGGTACCCACGAGCTTCTTTTCTATTTTTAGTATTTCGAGGTTGAAAATGCTTTTTGAAGGTAGATCGCGATTCCGAGATTTGTAGCTTTCGTTTGATTGCTATGAGAAATGATCCGTGCTTAGTGTGATTCTCCGATTCTTTGGTGTTTCGATTTCGGTTTAAGAGTACGAAACGATTCAAAATTAGATCCAACTTTCTAATTACGTTCTATGTTTCTATTTGAAGTTTTTTTTTGGTTTCTTCCATCCACTTTCTGTACAGATCAAAACTAAGATTTATGTGAGCTTAGTTCATGACTTTGATGGGTATCTCTTACTTTTTGAGTCTCGTAAAGGTAAAAAGAAGATTAGTTTGTTTGCTTGATAAAGCAAATATATGTGTCTTCCTTTGCTTTTTTCATTCTTATTGTGGAATTGGCTTTACAAGTCATAATAGCACTCATGATTAGAAAGTTAAATGCTTTTTGCATTTCAAGTTCATGTTTTGGTTAAATTTTCCACAGATAGTATTAGTTTCTCCAAAAGCGTAGCTTCAATGTTTTTAGGTAATTATTGATATGTCACTTTAATCTCAAAACGCTCTCTACTTGTAGAAGTTTTGGATGTGTATATCAAATTCTGTATCTTCACGAAACTAAATTTTTCATTTGTTTTGACTAATGTGTGTATATAGAAGAGAAGATGGGGAAACTGTTGGAGCTTACACTCTTGTTTCGGATCACAAAAGAACAACAAACGTATAGGAAACGCCGTGCTTGCGCCTGAACCGGTTTCAACCGGAGTTCCGGTTCAAAACTCAGCCACTTCGACATCGATTGTTCTTCCTTTCATAGCACCACCTTCATCTCCAGCTTCGTTTCTTCAGTCTGATCCTTCGTCGGTCTCTCATTCTCCCGTTGGTCCGCTTTCTCTAACCAGCAACACATTCTCTCCTAAAGAACCACAGTCTGTGTTTACCGTTGGACCATACGCTAACGAAACTCAACCGGTCACTCCTCCGGTATTCTCCGCCTTTATAACCGAACCATCCACCGCACCGTTCACTCCACCTCCTGAATCGTCGGTTCATATAACCACACCGTCTTCCCCTGAAGTTCCTTTTGCTCAGCTGCTTACCTCTTCGTTGGAGCTAACTCGGAGGAATAGCAGTGGGATGAATCAGAAGTTCTCGTCTTCACACTACGAGTTCCGGTCTAACCAAGTGTGTCCGGGGAGTCCTGGTGGTGGTAACTTAATCTCCCCTGGCTCGGTGATTTCAAACTCCGGTACATCTTCTCCTTACCTTGGTAAATCACCAATGGTCGAGTTTCGAATCGGCGATCCTCCAAAGTTTCTTGGCTTTGAGCATTTCACAGCTCGTAAATGGGGATCGAGGTTTGGTTCTGGTTCGATCACCCCTGTTGGGTATGGTTCAGGGATGGGTTCAGGCGCTCTGACACCAAACGGTCCAGGGATGGTTTCAGGGAACTTAACACCTAACAACACCACATGGCCGCTACAGAATCAGATCACTGAGGTCGCGTCTCTGGCTAATTCGGATCATGGCTCTGAAGTTATCGTTGCGGATCACAGAGTTTCGTTTGAGCTAACAGGGGAAGACGTCGCGCGTTGTCTCGCGAGCAAGCTGAATCGGTCACATGATAGGATGAACAACAATGAGCGGATTGAGAAAGACGAAAGCTCATTAACGGAGAGAAGAAGAAACATGGAGAAAGGATCAGGAGGAGATAGAGAGACGGAACAACAGAGGATTCATAAGCTGAGTTCGTCTTCTTCGATTGGATCTAGCAAAGAGTTCAAATTCGATAACACGAAAGAGGACAACAATATCGAGAAGGTTTCAGGAAACAGCTGGAGTTTCTTCCCCGGGTTACGATCTGGACTCAGCTAACAGAATTAAACAGATGTCTCTTCTTCTACGTTACCAAAAAGAAAAACCTATAACAAAACCTTTGAACGTGACTCAGTGAGATGGTGAGAGAAAAGGTAAGAGGATTGGGTTCTAACAACTTATACACACACTGAATAAATAAAGGTAGCTTTGGTTTTTGCAGTTGTTGTAAGAACAACTTCTGCACTGATGTAGTTAGGGAACTTTGGAATATTCTTGGATCAGCTCCTACAATATAATCTTTGTTACATCTCGTTACATTGATATAGCGGTAATTCGTTGTGAAATAAAGTTTTTATTTCTTCTGTTATATTATAAGTTTCACAAGAATATTTTTACCGGAAGAGTTTGAACTGAGATTGGTTAACAGTATTAGTCTAAACCATTAGCCTAAAGTAGGCTGAAAGTTCTGGTCTGAAATTCTAAATTTTCACTTTTGTTCTTTTTAGCTGATTAGGTTTTTTTCTTGGTGTGTGACAAATCTGGAAACATAGATTTTGTTTATATCTTAGAATTCCAATAAAAGCATGAACTACTTAAACTGGATTTCGTCAGAGAAAAGTAAAACAACGAAATAATATACCATTAGTCCTAAAACCAAACCGGACCGATTAAACCGAAGGAAAGAAAAGAAAACAAACAACAAGAGCTGGGAAGGAACTAAACCGGGTTCAATTCTCCTTGTTCGAACCATAATACCTCTTGAAAGCTCTCGGTAGATAAACCGGGATCAGAACACCGAAGAGATTAAACGACCAAACACCTAAATTCACCGCTGCCAAAACTTTCCCGGCGTACATCCGCCGCGCCGAAACCTTCCCGTACTCCGGAGATTCCCTAAAGAACTCGTTCGTAATCCACTCGACGAGCGTGAGAATCCTCCTCGCGTTGTAAACGATCGGCACGAGGATCCTAGCCGGAGCAGAGAAGCCACACGTGGCGGCTAACCCCTCCATGAAAACCTGGCTCGCCAAAAGGAACACGTGCGGTGCGGCGGCGCTCACGCCGCGTTTATCGTCTTCGACGAGTCCTTCGAAGATGTAACAGATCGGAATCAGAAGCCCGACGACTCCAGCGGATGCTACGTAGACGCGGAAGATCTTGTTTGTGGAGCTTGTGAGAGGGGCGTCGCGATTTGGATTCTCGTGTGGAGGGAAGATTAGTTTTGAGATGAAGAAGAAGTAGATGAGAGAGAGGAGTGTGAATAGAAAATCTTCGATCGTGACCAGACCGCTTGCGGAGAGGACGATGATGACGGCGAGGATGTTTAGTTGTCGGAACGAGAAGAATCCGGCGGCGGTTTTTTTGGCGGCGGTTGAGGTTTGGGCATGGTACTCTTCTTCTTTTGGTAGGGATGTGTCGTTGTGACTCGAACCGACGGCTCCAGACATGGTTCTCGAGTTTAAGAAGATGGTTTTGGTTTTGGTTTCTCGGGAAAATGTGGTGAGAAAGTTTTTTCTAGGTGGAGAAGAAAGATAAAAAGAGAGTGATAGAAGTGGACACGTGGCGCACGGAAGGAGCTTTGAATGGAAGAGGTTTAGAGACGTGGAGGATACTCGCAGAACCGGTGTTTTTGTTGTCTATTGTTTTTTAAAACCATGAAGAAAGGTCTAATGAGATTAAAGATATTTAACAAAGACCCCAAACCTCCAGAAAGTTTATAAAATGCAATCACAATTCAGTTCTTCGCACTTGCGTCCATGTGAATTAGAAAAATCAATTTTTTTGAAACAAAAAAGGAAACCTTTTCAAGTTTCAGTCAAGAAAACGTAAATGTTGGGAGGTCAAGTACAAACGACTAAAAACTTAATCTTACTTCGACTTGAATTTGTCGCTAACTCTGTCCCTAATCTCTTCAGCCACTCGTCGAGCTTCTTCTACAGTTCCCTTAACCTTCATCACAGAGATATCTCTAATCTCACCAATCTTCAAGCTCGTTTGTTTCCTCATTTCTTCTGTCTCTGACTTACTTTTCATTTTGAAGTCTTTGGCTTTCGTCTCCATTTCATGAACTTGTTCTTTCAAGGCTGAGATCAAAAGCCCTATCTTCTCTATGATCAAGTAGATTACTTCCCTTGATTTCTCTCCAACATCTTTCGCCATCTTCTTCAGCTTAGCAATTACATTCCCAGCTCTCTTCATGGTTCCTTCTACGGAATATTTCTTTCCTGCGTTCCCCCACGTAGACTCGGTTGTTGTCTGTTCACTGAGGTCACTGTCTACAATCACTTTTATGCCATACTTCTCCCAACGCCCTCTAGCTTCTTTTAGCACTTTCGCTTGTTCTCTTGCCCTTCTCGCTTCATCCTCAGCCCAATTCCTTCAAAAAAACAAAAACACTCAAACCCGTAAGTGACTAGGTTTGAGTTCCACTAATCAATGTTGAGATGATTAGTGTCTATACCTGGCAATGGATAAAGCGTTCCTTTCAACACCAAGCTCATTTTGCAACCGGAGAATCTCTTGATTCTCATCCTCCACTTGCTTCTCAAGTCTATCAAACCTTTCCTTCTCGTACGACATCTCTGTCTTCTTACTCACAAGGCTTTGAAGTTGTTCCTCAAGCTCGTTTCGTAATCTTGCAAGAGCCTCCATTTCTGTTTCGATAGACGTGCGCTCTTTCTCCAATGCAAGAGTCTCCTCTTCTTTCTCGACTCTAAGTCTAGCCATCTCCGACTTTGCTTCTTCAGCGAGTTTCTCCACTGTGTCTACTATCTCTGTTTCTCTTAACAGCTCTTTCTCGAAGCTGGCGTTAAGATCCTTCTCGACCTGAGCAACCAACGCGTTGTGTGCAGAAACCACATTTTCAGCCATAGCCTCTGCTTCGATACGAGCTAGCTCCTCACCGACTAATTCAAAGGCTTCGCCAATTGCAAGAGACACCGCTGCTTGGGCTTTTATGACTGCTTTTGACGGTTGAAACAACCTGGTACGCCCTAGAGGGAGAGAGGCGTTTTAAAAACTGAACTTGGTAGTGAAACTCTAATGATACGATTACTTGAGAAGCAAGGATCTCACTCACCAAAAGCAAGTGCTGTTATTCCGTGTTCACCAGCAGATAAGTCAGCTATAAGGGCGGGCCATGCTTCTGGGTTGATCTTATCAATGTCAAGAAAACCAGAAAGCTGGTACAACTTCTGAAGAAAGGAAAAGTGAGTTGAATAAGGGTTTCCGATGCTCTAATGACTAAATTTTGGAAAAAATCGAAAGAAAGGAATAGACAAAGAACCTTGTTATCAGCTTCTGGGAGCTGTCGGAATTCCATAGCCATCTTCCAGCTCAAAAGATCCTGACGTGAAAGAGGGCTGCAGAGATTAAGAGAAATAGTAAGAGTGATTATCAGGTTTTCTATATAGCTTATATGCAAATCTACCTTTCTGGTGAGAACGTAAACGGACTGCTCTCAGCAGAAGCCATGTTGTGGTTAGAGAGTTTGCTTGAGATAAGTCCAGCCTCTGCCAAACCTACACTATCCAATGAAAAATGAAGAAAACAGATTAAAACATAACCTCTACTGACTCAGCATCAATGTAAAAAAAGGTCTAATGATCATCACCTTGAATAAATGGAAAATCAGGGTCTTCAGGTGTGACGTCATCAAATGCAAGTTCAGTAACATTCTCTATGTACATAGCAGGATATACTTTTGATGCTGAGTTCCTGAACCGATTAAGGTATTTTTTCCACGATGTGAGGCGGTGAGATATTTCACAGACTAGGAGAGAATATTTTTATTTTTTGTTTTGATGGTTACCTCGATAAAGCATTGCTTGCGGAAACCATCCAACGAGCGAACTCACGGCGTGTACATAAATCATAAGGCAGAGCATCAGATTCAATAACCTGAAAATTAAACAGGGTTTTTTACAAATATGCAATCAGTTCTTAACACATCACTTTGTTGCAGTGCTAGAATATAGTTCGAAATCATCTGAAAAGTTTAAAGCAGTTACCTTTATAGCTTGTAAAGCTGCAAACACTTGACTTTGAACCGGATCCACAACCGTTGGAAAGATAGGTTTCAAGGGGTTTACTTGCGCAACTGTGGAAGGAGCGGGTATTCCTGTGTAACAGAGGGTCTTCTGCTTCTCGCTTGTGTTTTCTACTCCACTCAGCTCCGTCGCTGACGTGTATCTCTCAGCTGAGTTTTCCGATGATTTGTCCGCCTCGTGGCTTCCTTCGCTTGTAGACGCCACATCTCTCTCATCCCGAGATAAAACTGGAGAATCTAAACTAACATCCAGAAAAGGGAACGCTTGTTAAACAGGCAACTACATTGAGAGGTTCCACCAAAGAAACTCAATATATGCAATAAGAGGTTCGGGTCCATACCTCTATAGCCTTCTTGAGCCGTGCTAACTTGATCATTTGAGTCTTCACTTGAACTTTCAGCAACCATGGTCACCATCACTTCTTCTACTTTTGGCCCTAAGGGTTCACCAAAATTTTATGCTTTATTTCAATTACATTGTATCCATGTGATGGTTTAATCACACTGAGTGAAGATTAGAGTGCATACTTGTTAAACTTTTTTGCTTGAGAGATAAAGCCGCGAAAGTTAGCCCAGCGAAGAAAACCATTCCGGCCACTCCCGTTAACAAGGTTCCTGAAAAATCAAATACCTTCAAGAAAGTGAGAAACCCAGAACAAGAATCTACCAAGTAACCATTTCTTTATAATCAAAATTTCGAGAAACCCAGAGCAAAATTCAAAATCAGAAGAAACCGTACCTTTGAACCAATCGCCACCGCGAGAATCGGCAGTCTCTTCATCGTCTCCCGAATCAGACCAACCACGAAAACGATCCGACCCGTTCCTCCCACCCAATTCGCGACCCGATGCTGCATTAGGCGCAGCGCATGACATCCGGAGACGGCGACTGAGCTTCGTCATCTTCGCTCTCGCCGGAGCAGCTCTGAAGCTCCCATAATTGAGGGCGATCCTAAGCTGGAGAGAGCTTGGCGTCCATGAAGATACCGTTGACACCATAGATCAGCTACGACTTCGAGAAAATCGCATCAACTGAATTTTCCCAGACGATTACATTTACGCTTTTTTCTTTGGCCCCGTTGCTTCATAGACGAGACAAGAAAAGTGATACGAATCTTTCATATATTTACGGAAAGACCCTGTTATTATCTAATACTATAAAAGTTTACCCATCCAGTTAAAGTTTATCAAGTTTTGCCATCCTTCTTTTATATCTTGCGCAAGTCACAAAAATACACAACAAAAACAAGTTTACAATTTTATCAATTTAATACACATTTTTTGTCAACTAATTTAATACACATATCTTTAAAAAACAGTTTATTTATTCCATTAAGTAGTGAAATTACATCAATTTAACAGAAAAAAAAAATCTGATACTAGAAATATTAATAACAAAATACATGTGTAAATATACTAAAAGTCTAGAAAACTTAGTTTCTAAACTTAAAAAAATAACTTTCTTCAAAAACTTTGTCCGCTATTAACTTATCGTAATCTAAGATGGTCTAATAATTAGAGGCAACCCGTAACCGGGTCTGAGAGAAAGCATATGCTTCGGAGAATGGCGATAACCGGGAGAAACCGATATCTCGAACCGGGACAAAACCGACGATAAAACAATCTTGTACTCCATGGTGGTCAAGTTCCGACCAATACACATTCTCCCTCCGAAACCAAACGGCATGAAACCCATCTTATTCTTACAACCACCGTGCAAACTGCCGTCAAATCTCTCCGGCTTAAACTCGTTGACGTCGTCTCCCCACAACTCGGCGTCGTGGTGCATCGACACCACATCGATCCAAATGTTGGTTCCGTTTGGAATCACTCGGCCGTTCACTTCAATGTCTTTCCGGGCTTGTCGTTGTGCATTTGGCGCCGGCGGGTATAGCCGGAGAACCTCGTTCATCACCCAACTCATCTGTACAAAATTATTGCAAAAATTATTATTCGTTGCTATAAAAACGCGAGGTTAGAGATTCAATAAAGTATCACTTATTGAATTGATATATGCGTGTCCCACGTTTTAGTTGTGGATACAAACAAATAGAATATTCATTATGAACGGATATTGCCACGTGGAGCTGAAGTGGCACGTCTATAATTTGTCAGCGTAGTCGTTGACTGAAGCGACGCGCCTCCTCTATGCACTATTTGACTTCTATGTGACTCTTGACTTTGACCACATTGATCAGATGCATATTAATGAAATTTAAATCTCCTACTTAGTTTATTTATTTTTTTGTGAAACCTAATCATATTAATCTATTCAACTACTAAACCCTATAATTATTTATGTACTATCAGGCAAAAAAAATATCCTCATTGTGCATTAAATAGTGTGAACATGCCAAATTGCACACTTTTGTTGTGAACGCGTTCAGTAATAGATATGATATCGTGTGTATGCATGCATGTAATTTAACCACGTGGAATGTTGTGTACTAAGTTTGGTAACGTACCTTCTTTAGTCCGGCAAGTTTGTTATACTCAATCTCGGAATCTCCGATGACTTGTCTGATCTCGTCTCTGAGCGTGTCTTGCCACTCGGGATGGATCGCAAGAAGCATAAACGTCCACGTCAGCGCTAAAGCCGTTGTCTCGTGTCCGGCGAAGAAGAACGTTTTGCATTCGTCCACAAGCTCCGTCGCCGTAAGCTTCCCTTTATCGGCCTTGAGCAACATTCCGAGAAGATCGTGGTGGTCGTCGTGATCTCCTTCGACCAAAGATCTCTTCCGTTCGTTTATGATGGACAAAAGAAGGCCGTCGATCTCTTTACCTAACTCTTTAGCTTTAAGGGTTTGCTTGAAAGCCAAAATGTTGCTAAACGGTACTCCTACGTAGCGGTTTGAGTTGAAGAGTGCGAATTGCATTGCTCTTAGGTTTTTCAAAACTTGAGAACCGTTTTCTCCTCTGACTCCGAAACTTGTCTTGGCGATGATCTCACCCGCTGTTTCTATGATCTCCTTCTCCATGTCGAATTCAGGATTGCCCGAGTTTATCTGTTTGGTCCATCGGTCCAACATGTTGGAGGTTGATTCCACCATCATGTTTGTCATAGCCTAAAGATTAATTAAAAGTAATGAGAAAATGAGAAACATTCTAGTATTAAGCTTTGAATTGAATGAGTCTTGTATCTATAGTCTTTTCAACACCACAAGACCTTGAAATTTCTATTCCATGTCGTGGAAAATGGTGGCTCGTGCTTTTTCGGAAATCAAGACCACTAAAGTCTAAATTGTTGAACTAGATTAGTCACCATATTTAATTTTCTACATTTTGGTCTCTTAACAATGTAAACGATTTGAAAAGGCATGTCTAATTTTCTAATAAGTAATTATTATTACCTTAAGGTTAAGAGGGGCAAATGCAGGAGTGATGATGTGGCGATGTCGTGTCCAATCATCGCCTTCGACCATAACCAAACCGGTACCAAACATTGGCTCTCTGTCTTTCTTGAAAACATTTGGCTTTCCCCAACTCTTCCCCAATACACCTTTCGACATAACACTCAAGAATTCAGGATCCGCCACGTACACGAACGGCTCTGTGCCTAGCCAGTACACAAACACTTTCCCTGCATTGCATAACACGTAACCAATAATCAACGTTAGTATTTTTTTTACACAAAGTACTCCAAAAATGTTAGTAGCTAAACCGATTATAGATATATTGTTTCATTATCAGCTTAAGAAGAAAATGTTACTTTTTTGTAAACCGTCACATAAATATGATCAAATATTAATAGTATGAACATTGAGAGTTATGTTATGTACCGTAATGTTGTTGCCAAAGAGCGAAATGTGGAAGTGCAATGGAATGTATGTCATGGTTAATTATGGTGGAAGATTTGCTCTTCTCCACCATTACCAAGGCTGTCTTTAGCTTCTTCATGTCGTCAAGGTTTCCTAATGGAAAATTAGGAGGTGGACCAAGAAAACCGTTTTGTCTAAGCTTCTTCTGAGCTCGAACCGGCAATATCCAGCAACGGAGAAATAGCTTCACGAATATAAGGCCAAGAACTACGACGAAAACGTTAAAGAACATGTACCAAAATCGAGACACGTCAAGAAACTGATCCATCTCTAAATTCGTAAGAACAGATGTGTGTGTTTGTATTATTGTGAAGACTGTAGATGCGTAAGTGATTTTTGGGTGCAATATTGGCTGTTGTGTTCAGAATGTTTGCAGGTGAAATATGAGAATCAACCAAATGAGGTATTTATAGATGTTTTCTAGGATCCGGTGTAGAAGAATGTCAGACTTGGACCAACGAAACTCTCTTCTCCGTTTAATTTATTATATTGTTAGATTTTGTTTTATTTTATATTATGTTGTTACATAACGTTTCTTTACCACTTTCTGGTCAAACATAATCAGCATTTAGCCTCCCTGTCTTTTTCATTTCTATAGTGTTTTGAGGAGTTTATTTTTTTTTTAATGTCTAGTTTCTCCGGCTGCTTTTTGGAATAATTGAAAGTGATGTGAATGTATGTGTTTGTATTTCCATCCTTAAAAGGCAAAAATAACACAATTTACCTTTTTCTTTTTGTCAACTGGAAAATTATCTGTTTTTCTTTGTAACAGGATAAATTACTTAGTTGACCAAAATACAATAAAATACTGGATAAATTACCATTCTCGTAGGCTATACTGTCATAGATCCCTAGGTATATAAGTGGTAACACGTTCTAAAATAAAACGCCAACTAGCTAATTTCCTAAGGAAAATAACAATTTCTTTCATTTAATCACACGTTTTGTCAATTTAGTGTTCTATTTTTTTCAATTGTTTATGATTTTAGGTTTTGAGTTATCTTTATAATACATAAATAGAAAAGACAATTTCAGTAAAACTTCTATAAAATTAATATTTTTAGGACCATAACATATTTTTATTCTGAAATAATTAATTAATAAAAAACCTAATATCTATTAAATTAAAGTAAAATTTGACTTTTGTTTTTATTTTTCCAGCAAAGTTTAGTTTTTATTTTCCATTTTTCCATTAATTAATCATATATGAACATGATATTCATAAGTAAACACGATATTCAGCATATGATTAATTAATGATTTTACACCACAACACCATAAATTCTAGATTTGATAAATAAAAAATGTTGTTTCGATAGATTAATGAAGTCAAGTTTATAGAAGTTTATAGAAAATTTCCTGCTTGCTTCAAATGGAACCGTTCCTTGTATTCTTACATGGTAAGTTAATGAATTCTGATGAACCATATAAATTATCCGTTAAATTATTATTATTATTATTATTATTATTATTATTATTATAGTTATTTTTACAATTTATAATATAACAATACATCATATGGAAAAAGGAAAAAAATATCATTAGTGTATTAAGCTATTTGTATTAAGAATATATATCATATTTATAAATGAAAATAAATTGTGGTAATTCTCTTATAAATTTTATATCATTGATAGAAAGTTAAACATGGTACTATATATTTAAAAACTATCATGCATAAAATTTTTTTTATCTCGTTTCACAAATTTTTGGTTTCACCTAAACACATCAAATTATTTTTTGATGCAAATTAAAAAGGTTAAAATGATATTTGAAGGTAAAAAACATAAACAACACTAAAATCATGTCAATATAGTTATTAATTTATGATTTTAATAATTATTTTAGAAAATATATTATCTTTTTATTTTATCATAACCTGTTAATTTTTGCACTAACCCAAAGCAGATTCTAAAATATATATATATATATATATATATATATATATTTTGTTCATTTATCAAATACGAATTCCATGTTGTCTACACTTTTACTGTATGTGATCAGCAGACCACTCTGTTTAGCAAAAAGTTGAATAAATAAAGTTAAATTTTAGAAGTAAAAATTAAAATGTTGCATTAAGATTTGAAAAGTTAGTTTATGAAAATAGAATTACTCTTGGTTTCTAGTTCCAATGACAGTATAAAAATTACGCGTTCAATATCACAATCAAGTGAGATTATACATGTGAAATCCACTACTTTTGGACCCAACATGTGAAATCGATCACTTTCACTACCTATAGTGACAAAAAAAGTCTATAT